TTCTTTTTTTCTCCTATAGTCCATTTAAAGTTTTAGTCTACTACACCTTTCTTCTTCTTGTTATTTTTCAAATTTTGCAGGTTTTGCTTTCAATTTTCCATTGACTTGCTAAAAATTTGTACTTTGCGGATTTACGGTATGTAAATTCGTACAAAAATACCATATCCTATTTTTTGCTGAAAATCGACAGCCAAATTTTTGCTTTTCCTTCAGCCTTTGTAATCCGATGAAAGGCAAACGAGTTCACTGCACCTATCTTCTTCACGTTATTTTTCAAATAGGTACAGCGGGCAGTTTTTCATTTGATTTTCGTGAAAATTTTTTAGTCGTACTTTGCGGTTTACTGGAACTGTAAATTTGTGCGCAAATCCCATGTACTGAATATTTCTTACTGGAAATTAGCTTTTAATTTTTGCCATCCTTTGTCTCCTCTGATGAAAACTAAACGAGTCCACTGCACCCACCTATCTTCCTCGTCATCATCGGGCTCTGCTAGCTATTCTCCTCACCGCATTGATTCGATGAGCTAAGACTCTCTGCCGGGTCTCCTTCGACTACTTATCCTATTAGATTCGTTGATTTATGCGAGCCTGCTGCAGCGCAGATTAGCGCATATATTCATTTTTTCCTTCCATTTTATTCTCCTAATTTTCATCGGAAAGGTTTCAGATGTCTTATGAGTTGATAAAAATTGCGTACTCTTTTCTCATCGTATTTGAAACGTGAGAGATTCGTGCTTTTTTGCGACTCTTTGAATCCAGAAATAATCCTCTTGTTCATGTTATGACTCAAATACTTGGTTCTAAAATAGATGTTGCGACCCAAGTGCTGATGACTAATTTAAATATTTACTAATTTATACTCTTTGTGATGGTTCGATAAGAGGTACTTGAACATTGGAACAGACAACAAAATAAACATAGTGAATCAGCATAGTTATTCCGTTCGTTTGGTAGTTTGGTTTGTCAACAGATCTCAAGATCTTCTTTATTTTTTCTCGTCTTCTGAATTCTTACATTGGAGAAGTTTTCGATGGCCTGTGTTTGATGCAAGTATCAGTTCAGAACTTCATTTTTCTATACAGACTATACACTGTTAGATTCGCAACTTTGAAATTTGACCTGTATTACGGTATGATGTGCAATTGCACACTATACGTGGGATTCCGCCGGATTATGGACGTTCACTAATTTTGTTTGTTTATTGTCTATCTTCTTGTGCGATTTCTTCCAAAAAAGACTTGATCAATCATTTCGCAGTTATTTATAGATTACTCAAGACTTTACAATTGATAGCCTTTATATTGTTGTAAAGCTTCAAACTCGTGACTTCAACTTTTTCTTTCTTGGAAGAGATGTGCTAAGAAGATATCACTGGCGAGCTAATGGCTACCATTTATCATGATTTTTCTTCGTTTGTCAGCTCATTTATTTGAATGACCTACTACAAAAGAAAAGCGGAGGAAGACTTGATAAAAATCAGCAATTTATCAGTACCGAAATTCGGGGTATAGGTTTACACTCGTGATCGTTTGAGCTACTCTATGCGTCAATCATCTTCGCATCATTTTCCTCGAAAGAAAGGGGGGGGGGGGGAAGGAAAGCGCAAAGAGAATTTTTGGGAGGCAATGATAATTTGAGAATTTCAGAAAACTGCAGGTTTACGACTGGATAAATAAAAAAATGAATTTTGAAGAATAAACAGAGCTCATATATATCAGTAAATGAGTTAGGGAAGAAGCAAACCAATCACCGACTACTATGACTCTCAGATTAGCGAAATTTCATGAAAAATCATTGGAAAAAACTCAAAAATAATCGAGTTTTTGAGCTTTGTAGATTTAAGGGATTGTAGGACAGGCTTTGAGGAAGGAAGAGAGGGGACGAAATAAGTGTAATTCTTATATTAAGTTTAATATTTTGTATAATATACCTAATATAGTTTTAAGAATTTCTTACCCTCAGTTCAAATTTGCTTTCCAACGTGCTGTCCAGAATTAGGCTATGTGTGATATTTTTTTGCCTTCGATTTTTTTCCTGTGTTCGCTGCCTCCGAAACAATTCACAATTGACGAGCATTGTTTTATGATTAATGCATCATGAATCATACAATTTCACAATGGAAAATCTGCATAACATCATCGTGCTCTTTATGGAGGATTCGTTTTCAGCTTCTGGTTCGTGTTTGTTTTGATTGTAATTCAATTCCTGCACTTGGCAAAAGCGTTCATTTGACCAACTGCTAAGTTCTTAGAGTAGATTACGAGAATTATATAATGGTTGAGCCCAGTCATCATAAGACATTTAACTTTGGTTGACCTTCAGAACCCAAAGCAAAACGCATTCACTCGTAAAATCTCTAATTGCGATAGCCTTGAATCGTTTCATTACCATAAAGCCTATTACAGAAGTAACCTCCTGACAAGGTGTCTTTTTGGCGAGGCCCCGATGATGTTTGTTTACGTATAGTGACACCTACACTCAATTCTTTTGAATGGTTTCTATGGTTTCTATTTTCGAGGCTTTGATAATATTGCCAAAGGATCCTGGAAGTAATCCGTCACAAATGCGGTTGTTATTTTGTTTGTCAGTTTTTTCGTTATGCGGAAATGAACAATAGATGCCTTGAAGAATCCAATTCGTAACGTAATTTCCTGGAAAATTCTTAATTAAGACGTAACGTAATTTTTGCCACCTCATTCTTATTTTGTCACTAGCGGGAAGTCTGGTTCCAGTCAACAATTAATTTTCTTGTAAATCGAAGTGCACTCACACAATTTGCACTGTCCCTGAATGTACAATATCTCCCAGAGAACATCTGTGTCAACTTTGATAAACAGCGTATACGCGCACATTGATGGTGTGGTAAGTGCAAATGCACCAACTGCTTTGTTCTATCGACATTTAATTTTATTAGAGTGACGAACTCTTACTTGTACTTTCGACAATATCCTTGCTATGTCTTCTGGTGGGTAAGAGAACCTTTTTTCTTTGAAAAGAAACTGCTTTTCACTAATCTACAATAATCTCGCAATATTTTTTGTGCATAACTTCTCAACATTTTTGTGCATTAAATTTCTCAGTTATGTGATAGAATGTAATGTTGAGAGGGCCACTATAGGAACGTTTTATCAAAAAAAAACCCTTAAAAACACCACCGGCTTATTGATGAATATTATTTACTGTTAGTAGTCAGTTCATTCGGTGGAATCACGACTGCATTTCAAATTAGCAGGTTACTGAAAACATTGTAGACCATTTCTAGGTTCAAATAGTGTTATCTTGAGATTACTTTCTAACGTTGACTAGCAGACTTTGAAAGTTTTTGTTTTTTATCATCAAAAAGTTACATCCGAGAAGAGATCGACCTTAAAACAGCTGGCTATGTAGCCTAACAAGGTTCTTAGAGCCAGCAGAACATACATACCACGGAAACTTTGTTTCACAAACAGCTGTTCAGAAAATCAATATAATTTAGATTACATACATTTGTGTGTTCAAGGTAGATAAAATTTTCAATATTTTAATTACTTGCTAAAATTCATTTTTATAATGTAATATAACTAGGATCTATCTCACAAGCTCTTCTGCGTTTTTTTAAGCGATGACAGAACGTCACGAGCTTGAGCTTCCGAACGCTGCCTCTTGTCCGACCTCATCACTGCGTCACGGCTATGACTTTCATTATTCATCTGATGGGAATTTCGATAACGTCAATGCTCTCGCACGTCTGGCGAGCCGACATTCCATCGAAATCACCCACAGATTTAGCGGATTTGCATGCTTTTTAGTCATTCTGATTCTAAAGTGTGCAATTGGACACAGACATATTGCGCACAAATCTGCATATGCTAGAAAATCTTTTTCAGTGAGTTTTTCGTTACTGGATAGAGCAAAATGTAAAAAAAAAACGCACTATAAAGCACTTGATCGCTGCGTCCACTCGATTTGAGAAATTTGCAGTGAGACGTTCAGTAAGTGCATTGCGTGCAATCGCACAAATTTGAATATGAAACAACGAGACCGTAGGCACATAGGGTTGCAATTTAGGGTTAACTCGTCCGCATCGCGCTGCGATATCGCTCATGTCCGAGTTCCACGGGGTTTCGCATTGCGTAACCTGTTGCGGTGTTCGGCGCCATTGACCTTGGGTTGATCGTGTCACAAGCCATTCATTCTCACTTCATCGCCATATCGCCATGTTTAGCGTGCTGGAAATGCTAATAAGTCAATATTTTCAGGAAATTTCGGGTTTTGAGAAAAAATTATTTTTCCCATCATTTTCTCATACTACACACAATGATAGAAACTCGATCTTTTCTTGATTTAGGGTCAAAAATTATGTAAAATTTCACACATAAAGGGTCGAGCGTTTTTAGTTTTACAATTTCTTTCTATACTTCTTCCTCTCCCCAATCTATGCTGCATATTTTCAGCTATCTAAAAATTTTACGCCTATCCTAATTTGACTCTTTTTATGTCTCTTCTAAGTATTGCACCATTTTTCCTCCATAATCATTGCGACCCCCAGTCACCTCTTTTGCAAATTTTACTCTCATAATTTGCACATCTTTTGCTGAATCTGCAAGACATTTGTTTTGCATCCACTTTACTTCATTTTTTGAGGCGTTTTTCACAACTTCATTGCTCTTGATGGTCATGTTGCTATGTTGCTAGGACACAAATTCTTCCCATAGCAAGCGGGAGTAAATTTATTGGTTTGAGATCGAGAAAGACTTCCATCATGTAATAAGCCTGATGGCATCCATATACCATTGTATCCAGGGTTCCAGCCAGCTTTAGTATCTTTCCTATCTATCCAAAGAAATTGTTATGTTTTCGAAGAAAATTTTTGGTGCAAGACTTATACTTCAACTTAATATTTCCTGCAGTTTTTGTGGTCATCAACGTGCATCGCCTCTTCACTTCGCAGTTAATTCCACTCGAAATTTTAAGTGCTGATGAGTCACAGTTCTCCTACACTTTTGTATCAACTGTTTGTAGATACATCCGGTGCTAGCAGTCACAATATTGATGTCATAGTACACTTTCATCATTTCGAACCAATATGGCGTCACATGAAGATCGATTATCGATTGGTGATGGGACGCATGTGAGTCTTATTTCGTTTTTTTTATAGTTTACGAGAATTTTTGGATGGATTTTTTTACTCTCGAATTGCGAGCATTTTGAGCAGATCTTTTGCCAAAATTTTTTAATTTTTCTCAAAATTTTGGGAGTCTTCATTGCACTTTTAATCAGTTGCTTGTTCAGGGCGATGTGTCACTGGCCAGACTGCTGATAGCAGCTGATTTGACGAGGTAAGCAAGTCGTTTAACGCTAGCTTTTAAGTCAGCTGAGTTATGTTTGTCATCTGAAGAAGCTCCACATGTTTTCGAGCATATCGTTTATCTCTTGTTTTCTGCGTCATTCCCATCAGTCCTAGATTTTTTGCATAGATTTTATGGCTTGACGTCATGGTTTTTTATTTTGCAAATGGATCAGTTTCATATGTGTCAGGTGTTTACATACTTTACATAGCTACGCTTACAATGCCTACGCAGTAACAAGGCCAGAAATTTCTTGAAAGAGGGGATATGAAAATTTTTGAGGGGGCGTGAAATCCAGCACACTCTGAGAAAATTCTTGGATCTTTCCAAATTTTTGGTGGGCTCATGTCCTCGAAATTCGCGACTTCCAGAAAAACTTTTTGCAAAGCTCGTTTGAATCTTTAAAAAATCATAAATTATGTAAGCTTGAACAAGTGACTTGCACATTTCTAAAATTGATGCAAAAATGTAATGCGAGAGAGGTTCCTTCCTTCTCGGTCCGCTATCTGCTATGGTACTTTTCTCGGACACGAATTTTTGTTTGCAGAAAATTCTCCTCCTGATATTTTCAATACTGATTAGTTTTTCAAATATATAAATATTGACAAAACACTATTCATATCAGCTTCAGTTTACTGCCACATTACTCTCCAGCTCTAGTCTTTGATTTCGGCTGCCAACAAGAATAGTTGGAACTACCTGTGTATAAATCATCTGAAACGATTTGCGCCTTTCCATATACACTCTGTACTTCAGCTGAATTGTAGCCTGCGACCAGATTCGCTGAGTATTCATTAGTTTTCTTTCGAAATAGCTCACGTCTCAAGTCAGTGGTACCCAAAAATTGTGTAAAAATACTACCTAGCTAGCTGGCATACCATGCTCGTTGTATTAGGTGCGAATAGATTCAGTAGAGCATTCCTGAAAATTCTTACCTCACTATCTTAACGTTGCTCAATCATATATGACCTTGGCGGTTTTGTGGAGAATTTAGAGATAAAAACAAAGGAGGAAGTTTGTCTTTATAATTTTTTGACTTGTTTGCATTGAGTGATCAGTTAAAACCCGACTTGAGTTACAACACAGCCAGCAGTAAAAATTCTGTGGCCTTATCGCTATCTAAATATGAATTCCTGCTGATTCAACCTCTTTATCTGTTCTCTAAAGGTTGAAAAAATATGATATCGAGAAGAGACAGAAAGCAAGGATTTTGCTTTTTTTGTGTTTTTCCAAAATTTATGATTCTTCTTGAAGGTTTTTAATCAGCAGAACTTATCCAACTAAGAGTAGGTCATGGACGATTATATCATTATAGATCTGGGATTTTATCACAAGATTTTAAATTTTTGACGATTCAACACAAAAGTCATGACTCTATTCTTCTGTTTCTATCTTTACATTTCACCTTAGGAGAAAACTGCAAAGGTGCTACTACAAAGCGCATTTTTCCTCCTAATAAGATAACAGTCAACAAAAAAATTACGTTTTGAAATAATTAGAAATGAGTCGTTTTTTTGAGAAAGCTGGAGCAGAACATTCCTTCCAACCGCAATCCTCCGAGAAATCAGCATTCTGTCCCAATTCAGCGTACCAATTCCTTGTCATCACGTCAAAAGTGCGAAGTCAACAAATAAGGCAATTGATGATTTACGGTAATTGACGTGTTTACATGAATGATTTACCCGTTACTTGACATATTTGCGATCTCTCCGTCGAGCTCCGGGTAGGCACGTTTTTCAACTTTTTAGAACGAGAATCTCAGAAAATAGCATTAGTAAGTATTTTTCGAACACTTGATGTAATAAAACTTTGTCCATTAACAACATAGTTGTCCCAAATGTAACAAAGCGGAAGGTGACAGCCCCATTCCTTCCCCCTTCCCAGAAATATTGATGGAACCGCTACTACTCAATGAATATGAAAGTGCGAATGCATAGGACCTCCTTGCAAAAAGTCTGTTTCGTGCAATTTATATTGTATATGAAAATTTTGCGAAATTTGTTGATTGAGAATTGGAAGTACAGTTACACTCTCTTTGTGTCTTCAGTTACTTATGAATTATTTAGAATATTCTTGTTGAAAGTTCAGTGAACCTTTGGAAAAAAATCTCTCAATGAGGCCAAGATCGCACCCATTTTCTGCAGATATTTTAGGTTACCAATTTGAAAACTTCCGGCCCTAAGTATTTAACTGCGAATCCTAAATCGCTTTTGGTTATATGTGTTTGTTGAACGAGAAACCACTAACAAGGAAAAATTTTTTTGCTAGAAGATGCTTTGAATAATGGGTAATTAGTCAGCTTCCTTGAAGAGGCGAAAAATGAGCTATTTGAAACGTTCTACTTTTTTGAAGCCAGAAAACGGAAAAATTCCTTTTTCTACTACCAAAAGTGCTAAGTTTGCACATTCTTTAGATAACAAAAGTTCTGCAGCAGCCTGCGAACAAAGATTTTTTTCATGTCGCTTAAGCAAATAGCCGCGCAGGTTTTCTTTGAAATTTTTTTAGTTCGAAAATTTTTGGAAGCTTATTCCAGTTTGTAAATGTAGCATAAATCTCCACTTCTCGTTGCTATGTTCAGTTTTGCTTGTAAAGTTTTTAAAGATAAGATGTAAATTTTAAAGCAGAATCTTTTGGGGACAAAAAATTTTTTTTAAACGGGATCCCTTGTCTTTCAACGTTCTGTGTCTCAAAACGAATTTCCTTCTACTAAAACGAAAGCACATTTGAAAAGCTAGAACCAAAAGGTATAGATTTGTGCGATGTAATAAACATTTCAAGAAAAGAGGCGTGAGAAGCTATATTGATTGTTTCAACCTAGTAAAAAAAAACAAAGAAACCGCAGGAAACCTGATTATTATTGAACTGAGCGTTTCTAGGCTTGATGAGCACAATAAAGCAAAAAAGGCGTCAAAATCTATATTGTAAGTGCTTTAGACCGGAAACTTTCTAAACATCCTGTACTTATGAAAATGGAAGGATAATTTGCAGTGTTTGCAAAATTTCAAATACGATCACTTTATGAACAAATAAATACACAAAATAAATACACTTTATGAACAAGTAAATAGATTTTCGTTTAGTTGTTGTTCACAAGTGAAGTCGTGCTTCTAAAGGGCTGGGCATACTTCACGCGATTTTAGTCGCGACGCAATTTGGCAATACTCCAGCTGTGTTATAACTCATTCTAAGAGCATTCGAAAGGTACAAATGATAGGGCATTCTATGAATTCACAAAAATTATACACACCATGCATTGGCAAAAAGATCTGGCAAACTGCCATATCGCGTGGCGGCTGAAATCGCGTGAAGTATGCCCGAGGCCTAAGATATCCCCACAGCTCGCGAAAATGTGTCTCAATTCTTAGGAATGATGTACCAGCTAATAGAATTTCGGCTCATTAGGCAATTTCTTGTCCATTGACGGATCAATATCATTTTTTGATTGAACAGTCATTCCAAATCTTATTTTCAACGAAAAATTACAGCTTTTGATCACTTTGACTTTTCTCGCCAGTCACAGTTTTCATACGTGTTAGAAATTTGTAGAATTTCTAAATTTCTCCTTAGAATGTCCAGTCTCTGGCAACAATGCGACAGCCACATGACCCCAGGGACTGCAGCAATCAAGCAAACGGGGCTAGTGTCAAGGGGCTGGCTTGTGGAGCCTAGGATTATTGGATTGACGCTTTGATGGATTGGCACTCTATCATGGCTAGAATTAGGCTTAGCCTTCAATAGAGGACAATGACGAGCATTTGGCTGCTTGACTGCTATTATGTTTTTGCCTTTGGGCCATTCTAGAGCTTTTTTCTGCAAATACGAGACCGGGAATTCACATTTGGAAGAAAAGTGCTAAATTATGTAGTTTATTTTTATTTGTGTTAAAGGTTCTCCTTTTTTGTAACCTTGGCATTCTAGGCATTCATTCATTTCATTCAATAAAGTGTGTCATCGTTAAAAACCTGTACGGCACAGAAGATTAAGTGAAGTTATTTTTATTTATTTATGCTACACAAAGTGCGCCAAAACTGGAAATGATGAGTGAAGTAGTAAGTTCAATTGTTTATTTTTTCACAAAATTTTCACTGTATTCCGCCCACCCTCACCTTCCCTCTTCCTTGTTTTTTGATCCCTAAAAGCAATAAAACCAATTTAACAGCGCCCAACACATGTTTTTCCTATCACACGCATGTGTTGTATGGATCCTTCCAGATAAAATTAGTTTCACGTGTATTCCCAATAATTGGGAGTCTCTCTCCATCATGTATCATTCAAAATTGTGTGTACGAATGAGACACGTCGTCCTTTTATCCTCTTAAGTCCATGTAAATAGCCCAATTTACTATTACTAATCGCCTACTATGGCTCGTTACGCTGTGTCAGTGAGTATCGTGGCAGTATGTAGTATCATTTCCTTTTTTAGAAGATCTGTAGCGCTCGGCTGATAAAGGACTATTTATGTTGTTGGTCCAAAAGTTGGTTCGCATCCATTTTCAGCAAATCATATCTTCTAAAACCTTTTCTTGAAATCCTTTCCAACAAGCAGAAATTATGCGCTTTACAGTAGTGTTTTTCATATGAATCAATGTAAATGGGAAGTTAAAAGTAAATGGAGAACACTTCAGAGATTGGCATCTTTTAACTTAAAATTCAACCCTATGGTTTAGTACAGCAGGTAACCACTTTGTAACTAAGTATTGTGCTCTTAATTGGGTCTCATTTTGAAACTCCACACTTTCTTTAGTGACTTTGCTTGAAAATTGCAGTTCTTTTTTCGTTTGCTTCTAGCTCTCGATTCATGGCAAAGGTACCGACGTACTACGGAATGCGCATAATTTTCCCTCTAAAACATATCTTTTTATGGTTTTGCTTAAAAATGCCAGTTTTGAGTGGTTTTTATGAGATGCTTTTGACTCACGGGTTTCACACCGATTTCTTCAAAAACACTGTCGTAGAGCAATTTTTCTGCTCTAAACTGAAAACTTTCAAGGAATTCCATCGAGATACAAAGAAATCAGATTTTTCGAAGGTGCGAACGAACCTACCGACCAACCGAATATGTACTTCAACTTCCCGTTCTAGGAAGCAAAGTCTATTTGAAGTATCCAAAATCCTTCTGGTAGAATCTTCGACCTCTTTTGTTTAAGCGCATGACTTGCAAGACTGGATAGCTTAGCTTGATCCGATGAATTAATCATACTGTTTGGCTAAGCCAAGCCCTTAGTGTCATGTGCGTCAGCTATAGCCATACTAGCTTTTTCCAGCTTTTACAAGCTTTTTTTGGAAATTTCCAGAAAATAGATGCTAAATTCAAATGCTAAATAGAAAATGCTCAAAACTTGCAATCCTCGGTCGTCTTTTGAAAAACTCAAGATTAATTTTTTTCTTGTTTCATAAGCTCAAAGCTTCTTTCTGTTGCTCCAAACCTATTTTGAGCATAGCAAAGCTAAACTAGGTTTGGGATAAGTTATGATTTATAGTAGAAGTTCCAAGTTCTGCTCAGAAATCAGAACCATATAATTGCCTTTATTTCATGTTATGATTTCTATAAAGATCAAATGTTTTTGAGCAGATTTGGTTGGAAACTTTTTGAAAATACAATGAACTTATCATCTGTGGAGTTTTGCTTAGAGTTTCGTGCCAGAAAATTGTCATTTTACGTCATGCCTGTGGCACGTTACAAAGAAAGGAAACCTTTTTCTGGAAGTTTCCGCTTCCTGCGTAGGAAAGCATAAATAATTTTTAGGCTTTCACGTGACCAGCAGTCGTCAAGGTTTTTGCCTCAGCTTTTCCATTTTCACATATCCCTCGATGTCAGCTTTTCTGTAAAGTCACCGCTGAAAAGAGTTTCCTTCTGTTTCCTGCCAAATTTCACAATTACAATGACATCATTGTCCAGAACCCACTCATCCTCACCTCTTTTCCCTCCCTTACTCGGGTCGATTGAGTACATAGTGAGTCATCCACTCCTCTTTTTGTTATTCGTAGTATTGGCATCGAGTGGCATCCAGTTCGCTTTGTGGTTTTACTGAGGTCCAACCTTTTTCGAATGGAAGAACAGTGTAAGAGGTGCTCTGCTGGTGATTGATCGTATATGCTGTGCTGTGGAATTCGCTTTCGGATATCTTTTTGATTCACAGTTAATTTTTTCCCATCCTTGATTTATGATTCCAGTGTAAATTTTGAATTTTTCTTCGTAGAAAAGGGGAGCGGCAAACAGTCGCAACATTCTTTGAAAGTAATGTAAGTGAATTTTAAAATTGTGGTGACGTGTTTTTTACTCGCTTGTTAGTAAAATAAACTCTAAAAAGCTTCTAAAATTCAAATATTCTTTGTAACGGAATATTCTGAAGGCATGACTGTCCTCTTTTCACAAATCTAGGGCTAGAAGTATTTGAAATATCTGAGAAGCCCCACAACAAATTTTTGAATCTAACAATTTTTTTTACCCATTCCTTATTCCCCCCTTAGAATATTTCTCGTACTGAACGGACCGATTTTCACGTGTATTTACAATACTAATACGAATATGTAGCAAACCATAAATAATTTGTATAGAACCGCCTTCTATGCTTTCGATTTCGATTTCGCTACCTTCCCCCAACCATTACCACCTTCTTCACCTCATTCCTTACACCACTTGAAATTCAAAATCTCTCCACGTTCACCTGTCATCTGGCGCATTCCAGGCGGCAGATGTGTTCTCGTGCGCCTGTTCTTTTCATAAATTGACGAAAGTGACAGTTAGTCGCCACACTTTGCTCCTCACCGATCGCCAAAAAATTCCTCTTGAATACTAACATCCTTCTAGTCCATCCAAAGGTTAATTGAGGTTCTTTCTTTGTTGTAAGCAAAATTTTGTAGTATTTCTGAGAAATCTTTCGAAAGTTGGTGAATTTGGTTTGTTTATATGAAAATAAGTTTTATACTGGAACCATTTCTTTATACTCTTGAGCCTTCTTGCCTCGTAACTGTAAGATCCTCAGTCGAAAATTCTTCTTCAGTATCCCTATTCTACTCACAAAAATTCTTTCTAATGTGTCCATTGATTTTGTCACCATGGTCTTTCTCTAATAAAAATTAGTTCAAACTCATTTTTTTCTTGGCCATCTTCTTGGACCTTTTTTTTTCTATTCTCGAGCTTGCTATCAATTTTGTGATGGTTTTCCATTTTTAGGTATGAAAGTAAAATGCGTGAAGTGCTAAAACTTCGAAATGCTGGTGATCTACAATACGTTGAAGAACAAGATCTTACTGGTATAGGTGAGTTGGAAGTTTTACCGGAAGTCGTTTATCATTATTAATCATTATTTAATTTTTCGCAACTTTGTCCCAAAGAGGACTAGTTCATAGATTACGTTTTATTTTTTTTTTATTTTTTATAAACTTTGTATACCTCACTTTATTCTTCTCTGTGATAAATCTGTTAGATTAAAGTTTTCTTTGATTTGCAAAATATTCAAAAAGCATTAATTTCTGCAATAAGCAAGTTGCATGATTTTTTTCAATCTTTTGTGGCCACATATCCTCAAGGGACTTGAATGAGATCAAGTACTGCGATTTGAAGAAAGAAAACTCTTGTATCACGACAAATCAATTCTCTTCCATTCCTTCCTTCTTGAACTTTTTTGCTCGTAGTTTTTTTTTTGCAAAATCAAGCGTGATTAGCTGCTATTCGGGAAACTATTAGATTCATTCAAATCCCTTTCTCCTGTCCATTCTTCTTCCACCGCACACTCCTGCAATTTTCAAGTCAATTATTTTTCTCTTGTACTCTCGGATGCCAACACAAAGATGATTGTAACCATTGTTTCGACCAATGTGCATCCATTTTTTTGCTACCACCTCCCCCCCTCCTATTATAGTCCTTGTGCAAACAATATCAATAGCGCTGTATTTAGTCAATAACCAGATTTTTTTCATTGAATTGTTGGTTTTCTGTTTTCTATGAAATGGCGCTAAAATTGGATTCATTCAGGTATGAGTCGACCCGAACAAAAACGCTTACGGAAAGAGTATACTCGATTATATCCAAGTGGATTCATTGGAAAGTTGAAGAGAGTGTTAGGAAGATCGGAAAGTGCCGACAAAAGAGAAATTGTGCCGCCGGTAAAAGAAGAGGATGAAGATCAGCATGTCATTCCGCCGGAAAAGTAAGTTTATTTACTTATAATTATTTTCATTCTTTATCTAATTGTTTCATTTTGAAATTCTGTCGCTTTTAGTTTATTCAAAATTTGCTGTAGTCCAGTTTCAATTTACTAAACTTCTAGTTTCCACGATTCTCAAGAATATTCTATGGTCTCAATTTTTTTCGCATTTATTTCAGAAAAAAAAGAACGCTTGATGGTTTGAATCTTAAACTAAGGAGCAAAAATCCCAAACTGCTTTTTCAAGTTTTTCAACACCATCACATTTTTGATGAGTTTATTGGAATCTCGAACTTGCTTTCTTCTCTGCTGGGGATACTTGAATTGAACTAATTCTTTTGTTGTTGTCGTCAGTAGGATTTTTGAGCTTAATCAGGAAATTTTTATAGCACAACATACTTAACCTTGATTCAACTCGATTGCCGGCTGAAAGACGGGGCTTTGTGACCTAATCAAAACCGCTCGCCCGCGCCGCAATCTGCGTCTCTCCCGCGCGCGTGCTCTCCAATCATTACCCTAGCCTCAGGTCAGGAAGCCCCGCCTTTCAGCCGCCAAGCAAGTTAAAGCAAAGGTAGCTGTACCTACTCCTACTTTTGTAAATAGCATTGGTGACTCCATGCATTCTATGATGACTCATCTTTTACAACTCAAGTGGCACACAAGCTTAAAAGTGTTTCTAGCACCTGCTTGAATGCTGACAAACGGCTGCATTTTTATGGGAGAACGTTTCTTGTCATGAGTATCTGACGTCAAAATCACTGAAGCAAGAGAATTAATGAGCCAAAGCTGCATATAAAATTCTTTTGCTGTGATCCGTAAACCCCTATATCTGTACTACGAACTAGAACAGAATTGTTTATCGAAAAGAACCTTTGTTGTTTTCTGTGCTCGTATCATTCAACGAGCACAGAAAACAACAAAGGTTCTTTCCGGATGAAATTTAGTTCTAGAAAAGCAACGTTTATATGCATTATAGCCGACTGGCTCAAATTCTGGCCGCAAAAGGTGAATGCAGTATAATTCTGATTTTGGATGGGTTTATTTGAAGTTTTGTAACTTTTTGAAGAACGAGGCTGAAAACCCGGTTTCAACCATCTTTAAATAAGGCATAAAAGCAGCTTCTCAATGGTATTAATACGTTTTTCAAAGAAAAGATTTTGATGAATGCTGAAGGCTTGGAAAAACAGCCATTATTTTTGCATAAATCTAATAGTATGCAGGACCAATAGATTATAATTCAAATCAATATTGTAACTCGTTTGTGTTCTAGGATAACCCTTTGCAAAGAGCTTGGCCGAGGAGAATTCGGATCCGTTTGGCAAGCCTCATGGAAGGGTGGCCCAAATGGCGCTGAATCCATGCAGGTACGTTATATCGTTGTCTACATTCTCAGGCAGCTGACCGGAAAACGTTTGAGAAAGTTTCGCCGGGTAACCTGCGGAAGTTCCGAACAATGCGAACTAACCCAACAGAGAACATCTAACAAGGGAAGGATAGTTGGATGCCGCGGCCATTCCTAATGTTTTGTATACCAAAAAATGCGCCTTCGAATACAGATTATGAATCTGTGCTCGAAATCTGCGAAACGATCTTTTGAAGAAAGTTATGAACTTTTTTCCTTGAAAATTTAGCCTACTTTTGGATAGTAAAAATCACCAGATTTGATCTAGCCTACCGTTTGATGCTACTGAAAAAAATTTTAGACGTAGTAATATTTATTTAGACTATCTGGATCATACTCAGCATTTGTAAAGTAGAGAACATTTTTTTATTGATGATTTTGACCCTTCGCAGGAACGCAATTTTTTTAATGAAAAAATCATAACTCCATTCAGATTATCGTTTCGCAGATATGAAAGACAGTCTACGAACCAGCATTCAAAAGCGCATTTTTTGGTATACAAATCATTATGAATGGCTACGGCATCCAAGTATCCTTCCCTTGTAAGCAAGATTTGAACCTTACTCTATTGACTGCGAGACTCACTCACTATCCTCTGCACTAAGGATGAAATGTTCGACAATGCACTCTAGTTGTTGGCGAGACAATAAGTAAGAGATAACACATTTAAAACCTTGAAAGTACTGCCAAGCCAAAGTGCTACGGAACCGCTGGCATTTTTCGGCATTTCCTTAGCGCTTTGTAAAAAGTCCTGCGAAAGTTCCCCTTTGCAATCAGTCTGACGTGAAAATACCGCGGAAACTCCCATTCTCGAAGGTTCCACTTTTGTAATAGTAAACAACCTGCGGGACCGCGGCAAATTTGGCTTGTTCTGCGGAAGTTCTGGTGAATTGTCTGAGTTTTTGTTGTCTACAGGTCATCGATGAGTATCTCTGGAATGTTCTAGAATGATGTGGGCACAAGCTTTTACTTTTTTCGCCCTCAGGTACTTGCACAAAAAGTAAGCAACTGTTTCGTCATGCTTTCAAGCCAGTTCAGTAGCACATCTGTCATTCTTTATTGCCCAGTTAAGAGCGACCTAGGTACTTTGTGTGGGAGAGGTGATCCTATGACGGGCAGCAGTGCCGGGAAATGTGTAAAATTACAGTATGCACTAGAAGTAATTACTTTTCTGGGTCATTAGGGCTTTTTTAGCCGTTTCTCTTAGTTCACGGCAAGTGATCCAGTTTTCGATGATGTGTCCCGATCTGAGCTAGGAAGCAATGCTTTGGGTAGGAGAGATAGAGTAAAGGAGGGGCTCTAGAGATGAATTGGGGTGATTTGACTTCAAAAATTGGAGAAAAAATTGATGAGAGAAGTAGAATGATGAAAGATGTTTCTAAAGTCGTATAGCAAGAACGAAGACCATTTTTCGGAGACCAAAGAAAGTTATGACGTGGAGTCATCGAACAAAGTGATCATAATGCGGAAGAGGACTGCCCACACCCTCTTACCTCCCTTCCCTTCCCCCCTCCTCCTTCCCTTAGCTGCCACTCTTCAGTCCTTTTAATTTTTTCGAATTTCGAAATTTACACTGTAAGATGTTCACGATTCAAACTGGTGACTTTTTCGCCAGAAGTTTTTTTTTGGATTTCCCAAGCAAAGATTGAGAAAAACTCAAGAAGTTCATCTTACTGTACCTTTACAGTACACTTACAGGTAGCAGTAAAATGCGTGGCACCGGATAAGTTCATTACAAGCTCAACAGCTTTTCTGCAAGTGAGTCACTTATCAGTTTCTTCTTTTTACTATTTATTCTTTTCTGCGTTTAGGAAGCGGCCATTATGACGCGTATGCATCATGAGAATGTTGTACGATTATATGGAGTAGTGCTGGACACGAAGAGAGTGATGATGGTGAGCATTATGTGACTTTCTTACGGGGATCTGTTCTCGTCTTGCCTTTTTGTCGAGTCAACATTGCCAATGGCATATTTGTTTTTGTGAACTAGACTTCTTGCTTGAAAACTATAAAATACCAAATGTCTGCGTTTCATAACCTATCCTTTGGTGAGGGGACCAATTCTCGTCTCACTGTCTGTTAATTCCGTTTCAACACCGTAGTTTTGAGTAGGAGTGCAAAAATTTGACGAGGTGACCAGTTTTCGACTTGTCTCCTCGTCCTAAACTGTTCTTATCCCTAGCACTTTTATCATAGAGTATAATGTTTGCTATAAAAAAATATAGATGGTGTTCTTCAATGTAAAGGAACCCGTACTCGCCTGTCGATTATTGATTGGTCCCATACTTTTAGGTTTCCGAGCTAGCCACATGTGGATCCTTGCTAGAATGCCTTCACAAGCCCGCACTTCGGGATTCATTCCCGGTGAATGTTCTCTGTGACTACGCAGAACAAATTGCCAAAGGAATGGCTTATCTGGAATCGCAACGCCTCATTCATAGAGATCTAGCAGCAAGGAATGTTCTAGTTTTTGGTCCAAAGAAGGTAAGATATAAGATTTGCAGTTTCAAAGAGTGTCAGTCAATATATTGATTTTTTAGGTGAAAATCTCCGATTTTGGCTTGTCACGGTCACTTGGAGTTGGAGAAGATTATTATCGTAGTGAATTCTCCACCTCGTTGAAGCTGCCCATTGCTTGGTGTGCTCCAGAATGCATTAATTTTTTAAAGGTAATACTGGTCGTATATAGGAAGGTTACGGTAACCTCAAATTTCTATTCTAGTTCACATCAGCATCAGATGTCTGGTCATATGGTGTGACGTTATGGGAAATGTTCTCATATGGGGACATGCCATGGAATGGAAAAACCGGTGCGGAGGTGAGAAAAATTTTATTCGAACATGTTTCATCCCCTCCCACTCCCCCTCCCCCCCCCCCCCTTGCCCAAGATTTTGAACTCGCCTTGTCATTTTTCAGATCCTCGAACTGATCGACCAGAAGAGAGAACATTTGGATCGACCGATTACTTGCCCAGAAGATATGTATGCAATGATGGAAGAGTGCTGGAGCTATGCTCCAAATAAAAGGCCAACTTTTGCCCAGATTATTACGCAATTTCCTGATAGGTAAGCAGAAAATTTTTTGGGAAATCTTCAGAAAAATGCGGTGGATTTGGCCCAAATTCGAAGCTCCAAGATGAAATGACACGGTTTGCAAGAAAAGGAACGCTTTGTCCGTAATTGCGCACTTTACGCGTAGAATGTGCCAATTTGGCGATAAATCATTGCCTAAATAGCAGATAAATAAGTTCTCAAGTGTATGAAAAAATATGTTTGATTAAAGACAAATTGCAGCTTTAAGAACTGGCACAAATTGCGAGAAAGATAGGATTCTGGCCGTATCTGCACATTTCACGCTGTAAACATGCCAAAGTTGACAAAAACTATTACCGAAAACGGTAGTAAACAATTTCCGAGGAAATTTTTGAGAGAATTTGTTAGTTAGAGATGGAATTCATGGCTCCACGATAAAATGGCAAAGTTTGCATGGAAGTGAGGATTTTGGCCGTATTTGCACCGTTTGATGTGAAAATACCCAAATTTAACGATTATTTATCTCCACAGATGTTTTATCGAATTTCGTGTTCTGAACTTGGAATTACATATAATAATTTAATACGAGTGTCATAAAAAACCACAGAAGTAGTTCTCCTACGTTCTTCTCCCCCCCCCCCCCCCTCCTCCTCCCCTCCCCCCTTCTTTCCTCTTCTCGCTACCCCCATTCGTCACCGGAAGTGACAGCAATGAAGATGATTTCCGGCTCGCATTACTCACCATTTTCCCACGACGGGGCTCCTCGTTAATGGTATGCGCATCTTTTGTCCCAGACGTCTTACTTCCCCCACTTAAGTCAAGCTGGAGCCTATTGACCTCAATTATTTGTTGACTCTTAAGGTTTTTTTTGTTTTTCCGGGATCAGACTTCCCGAACTATTCATAGTTATGAATTTCTTAAATCATGCCGGCTACTTCGGTTTTTTCTTGTTCAAATTCCTTTGAAAAAGTTAGCTTATTTCGAAGAAGATTTCTTGACATTTTTAGGCTCCCACAAACTGTTCGAGCCGTTTGCGACTGTCGTGATTCTGCTAGTGATCATCTTCAATTCCGTAAAGACGACCTTATTGTAGTTATCGATCGAACGTGAGTAATCATTCTGTGAATTTAGATCTTTTTTTCTCGAAAAAAAAGGCAATTTATAGGCCCTCAAGCTATCCAGACGGGTACTATTGGTTTGGCTCATTACGAAACGGGCGAACGGGGTTGTTTCGACCCACCGATACAGTTGCTCATCTAGGTAGGTTTTGCTATAACTTCCATATTCAAAGTTATATTTTTGATCGTTGAAAAAAAAACTTCACCTACTCCTTTCTGGTTTTCTACTCATCAGTGCAATTTGTAAAAATTGCATTCATGAGAAATAAATGGCTGAAGTTTTAGGTGCAGAAAATCCATCAAGCATAGAAGTGATTTCCAGTGGATGTGTAACGACAAAGAATCATATAGATAGGAAAGAGAAAGAAGAGAAGAAACCTACAAAGAAGGTAAGCTGGCCGAATTTGGACAGTTTGGATTGTAGATCGGCTTCGGAAAGGAAGTTTTGGATTGTTCCTTGCAATGATTATACTTTCTTTTTTCATGCTTTTTCAGCCGTAAACTGAGATTGAGGAGAATTTTGCATAGTTTTTGTAAATTTTCGCTGCTCCATTGATTGTCGCCAGTTACTGCTTTTTATGAGAAAATTTTTTTTGGAAATGTAGAGATAAAGAATTTCCAAAGCTGCATTTGCATTCCCTAACCGCTGGAATGAAATGATACCTCATCTTTTACTTGCTATGGTTCATCTATATCAGACGCTTGTTTGACGTATACTACGAGTAAATTACTTTCAAATTTGTATTTTGTGGGAAAATTCATTCTCAGTAACTTGAAAATCGAAATGGCTGGAAAATGGAGGTCAATTAGTTCTTTTTTGGCTGTGTGTCATATTAGATTACACATATTCTCGCACCTAGTGATGTGCCTGCCAGGCACATTCGAGCTCGCTACAGTTACGAGCTCCTCAGGAGGCCAAGACATCACAAGCCCCGCCCCTCATTTAGTGTTCGCTCCAGATGATGAAACCGGAATTTCAAAGAAACTTTCAAAATCGAAGTTCAGAAGTGAATCTGCTCCAATCAAGACCAAATTTCGGATCTAGGGGTTTTCGAGGTTGCTCTTTTCAGTAGTATGCTTTGTTTGTTGCAAAGTCGACGTTCAGCACTGGTGATGCTTAACCAAGATTAAAATTCGGATTTAGAAGGGGTTTTCAACTACTTCAATACAAGACCAAAACTCAGGTTTAAGGGTTCTCGAAATCGCTTTTTAGGTAACGGCATATTTGAATTTTGATCTTAAAGGCAGCGGACAGGCAAAATGGACCCCTGTCAGATATTGGTAGTTTCGGGTAGTGGACACCCCAAGTACACCGTAGCCTTAACCCCACATTCCAATTCATGCGCTAAGTCCCGAAAAAAGCGCTTCAAAACTCCACCAGCCCCGCCCACTTTCATTGAGTGGGCGTTATTGGTGGAAGTTTGAAGCGCTTTTTTCAGGACTTAGCGCATCAACTGGAAGTTGGGGTTGGGGCTACGGTGTACTTGGGGGGTCCACTACCCGAAACTACAATCTGACAGGGGTCCATTTTGCCTGTCCACTGCCTTTAAGCATCATCGGTGCTGAACGTCAACTTTGCAACAAACAAATCACACTACTGGAAAGAGTAACCTCGAAAAACCCTAGACCCGAAATTTGGTCTTGATTGGAGCAAATTCACTTCTGAACTCCGATTTTGATAGTTTCTTTGAAATTCCGGTTTCATCATCTGGAGCGAACACTAAATGAGGGGGCGGGGCTTGCGATGTCTTGGCCTCCTGAGGAGCTCGTAACTGTAGCGAGTTCGGATGTGTCTGGCAGGCACATCACTTAGGTGGGAGAATATGGCTCGGGTGAGAAACTTCCCGCACCCGACTGACTGAGATCAAATAGAACATCCGGATTTTCCTGAACTTGAACTCAGTTTTTCAAATAGCGCAGCTGAACTATATATTGAACTAGCTGGCTTACCCGGCTCCGCCGTATGTTCCGAATAGAAAATTCCATTTCTTAACCGATCCGGACCAAACTTGGCACACATACCCTTCGGGCCCCGGCGGGTGTCACAGTCCACTTTTCGTTATCGATTGATGTCGATTTTATCGATTTTTTGTAAAATTTGAGCTACGGGGCTGGGACTTGGCAAAGGGGGTAATCGAGCATGCTGATTACGAATACAATATCAGTTTTCGAAACCGTGCATTACTTTTATCGATTTTATCGATTTTTTTGCAAAATTTGAGCTAGGGGGCTGGAATTTGGCAGGGGGTGTAATCGAGCAGGCTGATCACCCCCACGGGGGTGATCAGCATGCACCCCCGTGGGGGTGATCAGCCTGCCGATTACACCCCCCTGCAGCGGAATCCCCATGCTCACTTACCCCCCTGTGCCAACTCCCAGCTCCGTAGCTCAAATTTTGCAAAAAATCGATAAAATTGATATCGATCGATGACGAAAAGTAGCCTATGACACCCGCCGGGGCCCAAAGTGTATGTGTGCCAAGTTTGGTCCCGATCGGTTCAGAAATGGAATTTTCTATTCGGAACATACGTACAGACAGACATACAGACATATAGACATACAGACAGACATACAAACAGACATTCAGCTTTATATATAAGATTGTAATAGAATGAGATAAACAATTTAGGACCGCGAACGTGAGCGAGAAAAGCGAAAAGCTTTGATTTCGGAGCCGGTAGGAGAGGTCCGGCATACCTGTCACGTGGGGATCGACGGAACAGCTTTTGGTCTGCTTCAGGTAGTAAGTGCATGAATAAACCACTTTTCAGAATATTGAAAATGTATTGTTTAGCTCGATAAGAAAGATTTAGCACCAAATTCGATGTCACCGACAGCTGGTCGAACAAACGGCGTTCGAGTAGCTCATCATTCGCCATCATTGTCGCAGGTTGGCTCATTTTCCTCCATTTCCCTGATTTTTTCATATCCTTTGTTTTCATCTTTCGCTATTCGCATTCACGCACAGATATCCGAAGTCGACACATTTTTTGAACCCGAATTTCTCCGAATGTTCCGCTTCTTCCTTTGTCAGCACAGTCCTGCCAATCCGGTTCCGCGCTCCAAAAATATAGTATTCAAACATAGTTCGTTTGTGTCAATAAAACCAACCCGCCATGCCCATTCAAGACATGGCTCATGCGTATTCGAGATCTTTCCCAAATGTCGGCCTTCCGCTACTCCCTAATTTTCCCTCAGGTTTCGTCTCCTGTCCCCCTTCGAGACGTTGTGGCTCGTGACGGTATCAGTGTTCGGGAGACCATGTCATTGAGGGATATTACAGTTCCTAAGGTAAATGTGATTTCTTTCCGAATTATCGGTACCAAAAAGGCGGATACTGGAGAGGTTCTTATGCAACAGTGACGATTCTCCTCGGTTTATAAAATTTGCACATTCTTAAAGGTTTCTGAAAAGCCTATTATGGAAGTCTACATCATCGTATCAAAATTTCTTCAAGGTTTTCTTTTTTCTTACTGTCCCTCCCCGACTCTTCTTCAAGATCTTTTGTTTTATCTGTTTTTTGGGCTATAGTACCCTTTGATTCAACTGGCTTGGCGGGTGGAAGGCGGGGCTTCGTGACCTAATTAAGGCTTGATAGTGGTCAGAGAGCACGCGCGCGGGAGAGGCGCAGACTGCGTCGCCGGCGCGAGCGGCCAGGTCACAAAGCCCCGCCTTCTAGACGCCAAGCCAGTTGAACCGAAGATTATATCACCTACCTTCTTTGGTCAGCATTCATTCCTCTTCCGCTCTTCTATTTCCTTTTTCTTTTCTTATCATTCGTGAAGCTGGAGGAGGGAGGGGACAAAAATTTTCTGAATGGGGACACTTGGCGTTAGTCACCCGTACCGAATAGTTTCTAGAGCTTCCCTTATTTATAGCAGGTTGAAGCCTTGAATTTTTGAGGAAAGTGGGAATTTCACCAGCTCCAAAGTTGTCTTTGAAGAGAGAAATTGAATTCAAAGTAATTCGGGAAATTATCGCATTCAGTAAAATGAGCCATTTGCAAAATTTTATAAATCGAATCACTTTCGCTCCTTCATTCCCCCTCCCATTCCCTCTCCGCTACTGCCCTTGCATTCAATTCTTTCCAGTGCTCTTCTAACAATCGCCAATATATACCCGCACTTTGCTTACCGAAATCACGCTTCGCGGGGTGAAGTATAATACTTGATTTTTTTGCCAAAGAATGGCTTCAATTTCTTTTGTTTACAGTTTTGTTCCATATCAGGGCAGTTCTGGAGCCCAGTGTTGTTTAGCCTTTAATTTTGTAGCACTTTCAATAGCACATTAGCCTAGGATTTGGGTGTGATTCACTTTTTTACTCTCATGGCTTTGAAGTAGTAAAAGACTAGCAAGAGATGTGTATGAGTGGTTCTGAAGTGGATTACGCTGTCCATGGTGTGTTTGTGTGTTTTAGGATTTAGTGCAGTTCCGAGAAATGGCGTCACCACCGGTGTCACGAGCTCCCTCACAACCACCTCCGTCCACATCACAACAATCGTCACCACAAGTGCCTCGTGCCATATCACCGAGTGCTCCTCCGCTTACGGTAGGCGATAGTAAATCTATGTTTTGTGTGAATCATAACATACCATCTGCTGGTAACATACCATCTCATGAATCATCAAAAAGCCCCGTCATGGAGCTTGTGGTCCTTATCTAAACTAACACGTGTTGAAATGAACGGAAAGTATTGACCACGTGCGCTATTTCTTATCAGATAACACTTTTTTGTTTGTGCTTTGGTTTGAAACTGCTTGACTAACTCACATTACCTTTTTTCTGTGTAGTTTGATAGTTATTACTCTAATGGGAACGAGTTTTGGGGTTCAAGTCACAACAAGTAACTTCATTTCTTGAAGCTGCAAATATGCTTTTTTTAAGACCAGTGAGCCAATAAAATTATTATTTTTAGAGTGAGATTGCCTTAGGTAGCCAGCTTCTAAACGGAAATTATACCCTGGGAGCCGCGAGGTTTCCCGCAAATCCACCTTCTCGAATAGGCACAACGATTCTTATATAGACATTTCGAAAAATCAGAAAAATTATCTCTTCACACTAAATGGCCTAGAAACTACGGAAGGAGGAGTATGCGTATTGCCACGCCTCTAAAGCCTAAAAAATCTTTTCCTTTACGCGTAGAGCTTTTTTTTTGTTTGTAGCATAACTTTAAACCCACTGCTTGTCTCTCTTTTGGCAAGCTGTCATAACGAAAAATATGTGGCCTGATAACGGCGAAAGCATAAATTCACCAAAAACGGAATGCCATCAGCGCATCTTTGCCATACTATTTTTGCAGTTTCATGCGCTAAATAAGATCAGTGTGGAAAGTGCGGTCTTACAATGTTTTTCCTGCTGAAAATGAAGTTCTAGGATTGCAGCTGCTTATTTATAACTGCTCGTTAACATATCACGTTTTCTTTTAGATTAGTCACCTAATACAACCGAGTACTCACTCAAATTATGGAATGTTTTGTCTTTTATCAAGGTTGTCCATAACTTGCTGAACAAAAATCGATAAATACGAGCCGTTCAATGTTTATTCTAAAAGCATTTACGAAACCTTTATGTTTTTTCATGGGATTTTATTTTTGCTACGATTTTCTCAACTCACTCGAACCCTATGCTGATAATGTTTTACGTCATCACCATTTGTCATTTTCTCATTTTTTGTGCACGCTTCACCTTCGTAGAATATTGTTGCTTCTTTTTGATACCCTAAATTTTTTGAATCGAAAACAGAATTATCATTGAAAATGCATTCTAGGCTTTCATCATCTTCTGCTCCTTGAATGAGGTTAATTTACATATTGGCCAAAACAAAACGTCACATTTCTCTTCATATGGCCACATATATCTTGAATAGGCTCAGTTTTTTTTGCCGTCCTATTATCCTTTACTCTCACAAGTTGTCATTTTCAAGAGATTCAGTTATCGCATCAACGTATATATTTCCTTGCAGAACCCAGATCTTCAATCCATTCACTCTGATGTTCCATAATCGAAGATTATTCCTCAGCGTGATCCATGTAATTCTATGAGAACTAGCAAACCAGTAATCTAAAGGTGCTAGATTTGTAGGGGCGTTCGCTGCGGGAGCCGCGCGGTTTCCCGCAATTTCACCTTTTTAAATTGGAACAACATTTCTTCATATATAGATAGTGGCTCTTACAAACAAATTTTTTTGATGTGTATTAAGCTGCGTGCGCATGCCAGCGACGTGCCTGAACATCAGTCAATAAGGGGTGTGTCCCAAGTGCTTATCGGCGCGGCGCTAGCACCTGACACGCCTCTGGAACGGCGCTGGCACAACTTTGGCACAGGGGAAACTCGGGACACTGCCTTCGTCCTATTGTCGAGCTACACCAATAGTAACAACGTGTGGCTCCCTATTCTGCCCTTTGTCTAGGATATCAGAAGGCTTGTCGCAATCATATCAGCTTCATTCTAGGAATCAGCCTTGAATTCGATAAATCGCAGTATGCAAGAGGAATTAGCCGAGATGTCCGCGATGATGGCAGCTCCATATCGTGAAGATTCATCAAGACATCGGCCGTCGATCAGTTCGCCAATGGCTAAGCCGGTATCAGCTGTCTATGCTAGAAATCCGTAAGTAATTATCACAGAAACCGAGAAAATTATTTCAAAAAACCCCTTTCAGACGAGACACCACAAATACGAGTGTTTTCAAATCTAATCCAAACACAGAAGATACGATACTTTGTGATGAAGTTGGACATCTGGAGAGAGATCTGACAGATTTCTCTTTATCTTCACTAAATGATCTTGCTGACGATACTCGGCCGTTAATTTCTGATACTAGGATCACTCAGCCAAGACCTGTTAGCAGGTGAGGCTCTATAATGAGCATTGCGCTTTTTTTGCACAAACTCTATTAGCTTAGAGATTTTCTAAATTTGAAAATATGCTTCAGTGCCTCATCTTCATCTACTCCTTCACCAAATTCTATACGATTGATGACACCGGATGAATTACAACGATGGCATGACAAAGAGGTAAAGTTAATAGTTATGGACCTCGTAATAGTGAGAAAATCATGTGAGGATGGTAATAGACAGATCGGCAGAAAGCCCACAGTTTTATGCTGGGGTTTTACTCAGGATATAAAAAAGCAAAAGTTCAAAAATGTGTGCAAACGTTGCAAGCATTACTTTCCGTGAAAAATCAAAAGGTTTTGTTTGGTTTTATTGAAATGCAGCTTAGCTCCATTAAATCTCTTACAAAGGCCGCATGTCGGCGTATTTTTCTTTTTGAATTTCGCGTTCTAAATCGTTGAATATATGAAAACCCTCAGATTTTTTGATGAGTGTAGCTAATGCCCTTTTTTCAAAATTAACGGCCCTTCCTTCCCGCCGCCTACTCTTTCTCTCCGAAGAAAACAGCTTTTGTCATTTTCAGCTTTTCACCATCCTCTTCTGACCTTGTGCACGGTTAAGATCTATTTTCTATCTTAGACCCGTGAACATAAAAAAGCCGATGCAAAACTGAATGGATCTCGCCGAAAGGAGACGTTGCCCGAGGGACCAATCGTTGACGAAAAATCGTTCAGGTAACACTAATCTCTCCAGTTTCATTTTTCTCATGCTATAGCACTTACCATGGGAGATTTCTCTCAAACGAAAGTTTTTTGATATAAATCTGTCTGTTTCTTATTTACGTGGTCCAAAAAATCAATTGAAAATCAATCTCAACCCTAATTGGTTTGTAGTGCATTCACATTCAAAATTCAATAAAAAATCAATTTCTACACTATTTGAACATACAAGTAAGTTTCTTGACGCAAGAAAAAATTTGATATTTAGTGCGCGACAGTCGAAGACGAATCCACCAGATTGGTCAGCAGAAGCACAAGAAGCTTACAAACTTCTTGTCGAATGCGGTCGCGACCTCACAAACAACTCTGCCTCAACTCGCGACAGTCCCTCGATTGACGACTTAGTAAGTATTGAGTGGGGTTTCGTAGCTCCTACACTCAAAAGAATTAGTGTTTTGCAAATATCAAAGCTTTTCTTATTAGTTTTTACAGAAACGAGTCACTGTCATCGAAAAGAAACCGTCACCGATGTCACCGGTTTCGGAAGCTTCCGTCACACCAACTGATGGAGAAGTGCCGGCTGCAGCTGAGGGCGTCGAGGACATAACGAGCTATTCACCACAAAAACGGGTTCATATCATAGAAACAAAGCTGCTTACGACGAAATCGACAGACGAGGTGGGACCAGCAGGAAATCAATAAATTTTTAGCCATTAAGTTTAACAAAATGCTTTGTGACTAGCGAAAAATCATGCTATAGCTGAAATTAAATAATGCACTCAAGTTTTATATGATTTATGAGCCGGCAACAGAGATTAGGATAGAATAGTGTTAAAATCGGAACATGGTAGTTTCCCCAGCCTTCAGCAAACGTGTTTCGAATCTTCGCACCATTTAGTTTTTCATAAACCATTTAGTCGTGTAGTTTTTGTTCTATTGTCCGTATCTTTTCGTGCTGTGCTTTCATTTAACTAGTCGTCAATCAACTCGGACTTTATTTTGATGTCCGTGATAAAAAGTCTCCACATTTTCAGCGGACACCTGTTTCCTTCTACGATTCTCGACAGCAGGCGCTTTTTCTATTTTCATACCACATTAACATATTCGCTCCACGATCTTCATTCTCTGAAACATCTTTCAGTGTAGCATTGACTTTCCTAGGAGTTAGGACAGGCTCTGTTCCATGTTCTTCAAAATGTTACACTAGTTAATCCATTGAGATAAATGAATGTGCAGAATTGGCTGCGAAACTTGGAGCAAGTCTTTCACACTTTCATTCTTGACTCTACCATAAATTACAATCAAATTTATTGAAATCTGTTAAAACGCTGAAAATTTAAAGAACCAAATACTGAGACTTATATGTAGGTATGGACGAGGAAAGCTGATGTTCACCAAACTGATGGCTACCTTTCACAAAATTTCGTAAAAAAAAGCCATCATTTCTCGCTCTGTCTTCCTTATTTTCGGTATCGTTTTTTTAAAGTATTAGGTTGTCCGGAAATTAATGCAGGTTTTGAATTCCAACCGCAATAAGTCATACACTTCTCATTTCTAGGTAGGTTGCAAGGTACCGTTCAATAGAGCAAGGTAAGCTCTACCAGATGGCTATCTTGCTTTAGCAATAGCTCTGATCCACAACGTGTTTCGCGCCAAAAACTAAAAACATTCAAGCGTCCAAAAAATTGAGAAAAATCGTAACTCAGTTCTCAAAATTCCTATAAAAATTCTAACTTGCTCCCGTAAACCTAATCCACATAGAGCATCTATATACGCCGTTGCCGTATTTTTTTTCTCTGTTAGAAATCAAGAAAACGGAAATTTTCGTGCAATTGTTAAAGTGATGCTGTGCCGTCCAAACATAGGTAGTTGTATACCACAAGCATGTAGAAGTACAGACTTAAATTTCTAGCTCTCTACAAGCTTTAGTTCTCGAGAAATGTGAATTTTAGCTTGGACCACATGATTAGGGAAAACTGTATTCGATATTTCTCGAGAACTAAAGTTTGTAGAGAGCTGGAAATTTAAGTCTGTACTTCTACAGGCTTGTGGTATACAACTACTTATGTTTGGACGGCACAGCATCACTTTGGCAATTGCACGAAAATTTCCGTTTTCTTGATTTCTAACAGAGAAAAAAATACGGCAACGGCGTATATAGATGCTCTATGTGGATTATGTTTACGGGAGCAAGTTAGAATTTTTATAGGAATTTGAGAACTGAGTTACGATTTTTCTCATTTTTTTGGACGCTTGAATGTTTTTAGTTTTTGGCGCGAAACACGTTGTGGATCAGAGCTGTTGCTAAAGCAAGATAGCCATCTGGTGGAGCTTACTTTGCTCTATCGAATGGTACCTTGCAACCTACCTAGAAATGAGAAGTGTATGACTTATTGCGGTTGGAATTCAAAACCTGCCTTAATTTCCGGACAACCTAATAACTCTTCTACCGAGCCTTTTTACGTAGTTAGGGGCATGCCTGATGTCGGTTACTATTTGTTATATTTAACAATCGCTAATTTCTGCGGTGTGTCTGCCAATTTTCTAGTTCAGCTCCGATTCATAAAAAAAATTATTTCTAAACCATACTCCGTTCCTCCTATGGTATCCATGTCATTCATGATCGTAATGGGCTATGCATGCATGACCTTTAGAAAAAAGTAATACGCCTGCTCAGACTGATGTAAATGCTCAGAAATTCTTTACTTCAAGTAATACCTTCAATAAAATGGCAAAGTTTGGTTGCCAATTTTCTAGCAGGAAATATTCTAGTGAATCACTGCCCATTTTAGGAACGTGCTCCACCTGGTTTGCCACCAAAGTTCGATCAGAAACCGCCCCCATGTAGGCCTCCAAAAACCCGAAATGTAAGTGTATAATTTGTAAGTTAAATGCATCTTTGCACATGGCTGCACTAATTGTCTAAAAATTTCCTTGGAAAGCCATTTTCGCATTTAGATTCCTGTCATCATGAATGGTCGTTCCATCAACTATGATAATTTGAATGGTATTGGAGCTGGTCGGGCGCCCCCACCTGTGCCACCGAAACCGAAAACGAAGTGAGTTTAACAGAATTCTCCCCCACATGACTAATTACCTTCTAAATTCCAGTATTGTACGGCCAACATCGATGTCGCCACCACCGCCAGCGACTCCTCTGTCCATCGAAAAAGAATCGCCCGGTTTCGCACCATCCATCACTCGTGGCAGCCTTTTCAATGCTGCGAAAAAGGAGGAAGTGATAAAGTTCTGAACACACATCGCGCACTGCTGCTTGTACCACGCGCTCACATCATTCTTGTGCCAGTCGTCCTCGATGACTTTTTCAGACACCTCTCGTCCTATTCTCAAGTGTGTATGTGTGATGATGTGTCATTGCCGCGCTGTGCGCAGTTATATTGCTCCTTAGGAAGCGTCAAATGTTGTTCAGCGGTGTGCCAACGCCGTGCCAGTGTCGCTCCGCTGCCGTGCCGACGCTGTGCCAGCGTTGTGTCGGTGCCGTGCCGCTGCGGTGCCAAAGCTGTGTCAACGCCGCGCCATCGCCGTGCTGGCGCTATGTGCCGGAAAGTCGATCGATGATACGGCGACGCGTCTACGCTGGTTCCGTACGGCGCTAGCACGTTGCTGGAACGGCGCTGGCACGAGCAAGTCTGGACGCAGTTAGATATCTGTATCACACCGCTCGTTTGAGTAGCTCTTTATGACTTGGAATTTCTGCAAAACTTCCCTCGCATTTACGATTTATTGTTTTATCGATTGCAACGTTACGGTTACTAAGCTAAATATTATTGCGTTTAGAGTTCAATTACCTATTGATTGGCAGTTAGTGCTCATGATTCGTGTGATTATTGTGGCATCCATCAATTTTTTTGCAACGATGGTCCTACCACGATTTCTCTTGCCTTAATAGCTGTTTTTCAGTTGTATGTGTGTGATTTTTCAGTATGTGAAATGTTTTCGACTTCTTTTGCAAAAAAATTAATGAAGAAGCGGCACTTTCTCATTTTGCCCGTCGTCTATCACATTGTTTTTAGCTCATACAGTGAGTTATAGGACTCGTTAATCTATTACCAACGCTCGCCTCCGTGTCACTCTGCGATTCTCCCACTGTTTCTGCAAAACTAGCTAGAAATTTCCCCCCCCCCCCTGTTTTTTTAGACAGCTAAGTTCCAAGTAATCTCAGCCCTCACGTATGCGTGTACTTGTGTAGAGTTTTCGGCCCAAAACTCCCTGTCCAAGCACCGATCCGGTTCCCCTCTTGAAATGTTGTATCTTGAATATGTATCCACTGTATATATCCTTACTCTTGATAAATTGCTCTCAAATTGTCATAGTAATATATAATGGATGAAGGTATTGTGCCATTAGATATATGGAAAATGAAGTTTGAAAGGATTTTCTGATTTTTCAAGTTTTTTTTTTGCATTAGAAGGCTCGTATTTTAGTCGCATCAAGTTTCGCTTGTCTATAAGTGCTGGGAAGCAGAGCGAGATCTGGTCCCATACTCGAGTGATTCTTAGAACTCTATTCCGCTCTCCTGCTTTGAATTTGTTGCTGGTTCATACTTTTATTTTATTTTATTTTTATAATTCATACTTCTAAAGTGCTAATAATGAAGCTGGGGTTGGACGTTAGCTTTTGAATGAAAACTTTCCTCGGAAAATAAAAGTAGTCTCAGTAATTAGTAACTTCGAAACCAGCAATTACTCAACTTATACAAAAAGTGCAATTCTGCTGCATTGATCCTACTTATCATTTTTCCACAAGCTTGCAGTCAAGTTTAGAAGTAAAAGATTCTTTGAACAAAATACGTAAGTGTATTTGTTGCAATCAGTCTATGAATGGCAAAAATCAGGACCAGTTTGGTGGTATCTAGTCAAAATCAACACCCGAATTTCTACGTTTAAACTGATTAGAAGGCGTTGGCTGAGTAATTGTTTATGTAGTAGATCATACGATTCAATCGTGGCCGAGAGGGCCCTATCCAAATTTCAGGTCCAACCGTACTTCCTATCGTAATGGAGAGGTTGCGTGCTGGAATGGTACGGTCTGGGTGGTGCTTGAAGTTGCACTTACACTAGCTTAGTTAAAGGTAGCATCTAGGCAAAATCAATGCTACCTCGATTAGTACCTAGCCTAAAAGCAGGCTCCAGGAAAGGGGCATATGCGTTTGTCCGGCTTTCCAGTTTGGCCTCTGAATGGAGAAAATGGACCTGGAACCCGTGAAAGTGCTATCAAGCCACGCCCACCCTATCAAGCTCCGCCCATCCAAAGAGTGAAAATTGCCCGCGCCTTCAGGACAACCTTCTCGGGAATCAATGTTTTGGAGTTTTTGCACATTTTGGACTTCATAATGTAATCTGGGCCAGGGAAAAGCCCCAGAATAGTATGAACATGGAGGCTAAATCTTGGCTGGAGGCTTCTCTGAAGGCGTTCCAAGCAGATTCCAAATAAGAAGTTGGGTACACATTGCCTGGAAGCTATTTTCAAGCTGTGTAGACAGTAAATGATAATTAGACAAAATAACTGATCAAAAGCTGGTACCTTGTCAGGCTTCCGTTATCATTGATTAGTATCATAACTTTTAGCTTTATTTTCTAGAGGGTACTTTTTGGATGAAAAATTTGTCGCATATATGTCGCTATGCCAAAAACTGCTTTCGTCCAGCAAAAGCAACGGGAGTAGTATACAAAGCGCTTCCCTCCTCCACCCCCCCCCCCCTCCTCCTCCATGAAGCAGTGAAGACATTCCATTGCTACAGACAATTACTGGCCTTGACCTGGCATTGCCCTCATCTATATCTAGAAAAACCGTATTGCTTCTGCCATCATCATTGACACAACGGTGGAATTTCGCTGCAATTGCAGCAATCTTCATACTTCAGTCGTGAAACGGGTTCCTATTAGTGCCCATGGAGTGGATACCACTCTTCGTTTCATGTATTTTCTATCCAAGAACAAGTTTTGAAAAGATACTCGACCAAAAAACCAACAAAATGTTTTGAAAAAGTGGCAATCATGTGGTGGCATGTAAACGAAAACTTTACGCACTCTTTCGACAATGGAACTCAAAAAATTCGTGGGAGAAGTGTCAAACGCTTCGAGTCTTAAAGGTGCTGTGTTTAGAGGAAAAATTCCCGAGCTCACTTGCCTTTACCCGAAGATTTCCCCTACCGTTTATCCGGGAACTTATGAGTGCTGTTCTCTACATGGGAAATATATATATATATATATCATTACAATAGAATAACGCTTTCTCCTACAAGAAACTCCTTCCTTCCCCCCCCCCCCCCTTTCCTCCTCGATAATGGGATGCGAACTTTCCAAGAGTGGTCTACATAGGTTATAGAATTATGTAAATGACTTGTTGTTACCTATGAGTAATCAATAATTCTTCAAAATTTCTTGGAATTTCCGACAAGATTTGTAAAAAAAACTTCATCTGGCTGCCCCGTTTTCCTAAAAGTTTGTAGTTTTGAGTTCGCACAAAATTTCATTCATCTCAAAAAATTTTCGAAGCTTTATTCGACAAAACTTCTCTCCCCCCGGTTATGTCAATTCTTAATAATTTTTAATCATTCCACGATTCTCAGATGAACGAGGATTTGAAATACAAATCGTTGTACTTTACCTTTATCTTACTGCCAGGATTTTTGTTTTCTATCTTGAATGATTTTTTAGCCCTCGCATAAAAATCAAACAATTATCGAAAAATCACTTTAATTTTGTGGTGAGATCTTCAAGCGCAGTCTAAAGGGTAAACGATGGCAGAGTCATCATGACTAGTCCAGTATTTATTTCGTTTCATTTCTATGAGCAGTCAAGAGCTGAATAAACAAAAGATGTTGTTATGGAGTGGCTTGCTTTTGAATTCAGGAAACGTTATTCATTCAGACTCTCTACGTCAGGTTAATCTCAATATTTAGTAACGAAATAATTCATCATTTGCAGAAGAAAAACTATTTTACCATGAAGAATTGTATGCCAAGACTTTCAAGCTTCTTGTTGTAGTGTTTTTTTTTGTAAACCATAATAGGAAGTGATGGTTAAGCTAATTATGATGCCTTGTTTGTTGAGTCTTCTACAGAGTGCAGTTTTTCCTTTCGAATGACCGTCATTAGTATGACTAGCTTGTTTTCATCCAATTTCTTCGTCTGCTTATCTTATATTCATCTGCAAATCTGCGTTCGGAATCTGTAGAAAAGTTTTATCATCATGGCGTTTTACGTCTGCCGTTGAGGAGAAATCTTTGCTATAAAAATTATCAATTTGCCTAACAAGGGAAGGATACTCGATTGCAGTGACGACTGGGTAAGCGGTGTATACCGCGTATACTGTCCCCAGACGGTGACTCTGAACCGCACTCTATTTCTGCTATGACGTCATTCCGGAAGAGCTATGAAGGATTTTGCAAAAACGCAAAGACCAGCAGCATCCGAGGGGAATCGAGCCCACGACATCCATCTGAGCAGTCTAAGCCACTATCCACTGCATTCGACCACAATTACAAGGCAAGTTTAGTAATTGAATGCGCCTGCAGCACCAAAAATCCTTTGAAGTTTTTCCAGAATGACGTCATAGCAAGTATGGAATGCGGTTTAAAGATCACCGTCTAGGGACGGTATACGCGGTATACACCGCTTACCCAATCGCCACTGCGATCGAGTATCCTTCCCTTGTAAGAAATACAATAACCTCCCTGCTTGTGTTAGACTTGCTTTCTTTATAAGAAGAGGAAATTTCTTTTCAATCCACACGGAACACTCTATTTATTACCACTTTTAGCAGCTTTTTTCTAATATAGAAATGAAAAATCCAATAAATTCGCATTTTCTTATTTTCCGCCATTTTAGATTTTTTTGAAAGCTTGATGGAGAGCCATCATGAAGCGCAACATTCCACGCATACTACTGTAAAATTACCATGTTTGTTAGAGATCCACCACGAACCACAGCATTTCACCACTCTACCCTATGATTACCGTAACCAGGGCAACTTCCCTTCAGCACATCTTTGGCGGTACACCTCAGTGCACCTCTCGACAAAATTGGATTAGAGTGACGGTTAGGGTCACTACGGGTGCGCTATTAAAGACGCTTCGTATAGCACGAGGGTGCGCTTCCTCTACATAATGTGGAAAATACATTTTCCAAGTAAATTCCTGGATTCTGTGGAGATTTGATGTTTGCAGTCAACTTCGCCTACAGAGTGATTTTTTCTTAATTTTATGACTCAGTATTTCACGAAATAATTTTGTACAAAACTGGTTGCAATCTATTCATGATCACATTTGACTAATGTGCCAGTCAACTGCATAACGGTCTCCTAAACTTGCGCTGAACTCTCTGCAAACTGCGCGATCACTCGAATCGCATCGACGACGATCCTGTAGAGTCGTAGGCAGTCATTTGCATAGCAAAAGTCGATGGCATTGTTGAAAACGATCCATCGACGATCGGCCGGCCGAGCGCAGCGCTCGTCCAGCCGATCGTAACCGGTTACAGAACCGCGCATCGACTCTACGAACGACCATTTGTCCCTCGCTGCACTCGTGCCCATGCTGCTGCTGCTGCTGACGATGATGATGATGATGATGATGGCGACGATCCGTCCATTTGTCGCCATTTCGTCCCATCGCTTGATTCAGCGACTGGTTTATAAACGGTTTTAGTCATTTATTCGATTAGATCATTCATTTGTTTTATTTCATTCCACTAGTTTCCCAAGTCCCTCAACCCTCTCATCTAATCAGTTTCCTTTGATCATCCTTCATTAACGTAATGCATACAACTTAATCTTCGTTCAATTCATTATTCTCAAGTCATTTGTAAGCTGATATGTGAGTCTGCACACTTTGCGCGGCGACTGACAACACCTTTACTAGTGACTCCTCAGTAAAATTTTTTACCAACGAACACATGACCAAATAAATCAAAAGAAACAAGGAAATGGGAGCAGTTATTGAAAATGATTTTCCATTCTTACAAGTCGTAAAGTAACGCGCATGGTGTGCAATACGCACATTGATTCACTAAACCCTCTACGTTACACAAATTCATTCATTTATTTCATTACATTCAATTTACCAGTGGTGCTGCTAGAAATTTCTTGGAGGGAGAAGGACAAAAATCTTTTTCGAATGAAGGTGCACTACGTAACCCACACACTCAGAAAACTTCTTAGCTTTCCAGAGTTTGCGGGCTTGTAACCACAAAACGCCCTCCTCGCCCCCCCCCCAATTTTTTTTAAACAAAACCTAATCTAAATTCTCAGTTGTTACAATTGTTCACAGAACACAAGTTACTTGCACAATTTTCTGTGGGTCCACCCTCTCTGATCTGTTAATGCCCTTTACTTTCTGATTCATCATTCGCGAGTTTATTTTTCCATACATTCATCAC